TTAAGGTAGCTAGAGTTATTTACTTTAAACTAGAATGAATAAATAAAGGTTAAAATGACAGATTTTAAAGACAGGACGTGGCGGTTAAGTGTAGCAGCAGCGGTTGGTTTAACTAAAGCTTCTCCTGCAGCTGTCTTGTTGTTGTCCTTGAAGGACTTAATGCTTGTAGGTGGCGCTGGGTGACAAAAGGCGAGGAACCTGTCCAGCGTTTGTTTCTAACGAAATCTATTCAGCTTCACTCGATAGCTTATATACAGTCTCCTAAAATGACCGTGTGACCGAAGATATGACCGTACCCTTTACCTTCTGTATCGGTGGTGGACCGCGGCTGCTCGGGTTTGTTCACCGGATGTCAGTTTGGTTGCAATGGGGCGGCGTCTGAGCCCAGTTCAGCTGATCCAGGACCAGTTTCTTCGTAACTGAGTGGTTAAAAGTGGTTAAAAAGAGAGTTGGCTGGCCGAGGAACGCCAGAAGCTAACCAGTAACTTACTGTAGCAGTGAAGAAAACCTGCGCACCGGACGGCTTCGTTTAAAACCCAGTGTTTGGTGGATATTAACAGAGAGGGACGAGACAGATTTACTAAACCTACCCACACTGGTGGCGGGTAAACAGCAAACAATACTCAATGACAAGAAGTCAAGAAGTGACCAAAGCTAAAAACTCCACAGACTGGGTTAGCTTAGTTCTGGGAACGTAATTCTGGTTGCCCTTTGGTTCCCACGGAAGGTTTTTTTTTACGGAATGGTTCGGAGAACGTTCCCTTAACATCCCCGTAACCTTAAAATGAGCGAAACCGTTAGAGAACCTCGCAGTAACGTTCCCTCACCTTTTAAACGTTCTTTTAAAATCCCCGCCATTCCGTTCTGACGACGTTTTAACCAGCTGCTGTTTTGGTGCCCACAACGATGTCTTTAGTGCTCACTACGTTTTCACAACGTATTTCAACAGAAATTCATCAGAAGGTAACAGCCTACCCTGACCGCTCTCTGTCAGGCTGTGTCAACGTAGTGGCAACGAGATAGAAATAGCAAAAGTGATCTACATTGCTAATATGTTGTCACAACCACATGCATCAATTGCAATTTTGTTATAATCCACTGTTTCTATATGCATGAAAATTGCTTCCCAAAGATATTAGTGTATTAAACACTGTATTTCTTGAAAATATTGTATCACCAAAGGGCTCATATTTTCATGACACTTCACATGAAACCGGACATCCTAATACCATGATGTCTAGACATTCATTTCAAGTGTCAATGAAGTATAACACAAAGATGTTTTAAACATGCTTTAATGTGATATTTTCGAATAAAATTAAAACCAAAATTATTGTGTGGTCTCTTCAGCTGTCTGTTGATATTAGTTTAGTAGAACACCTAGAAAAAAAAATGCAAATAAAAATGAGGTAGAGAAAATGATATAATTTGTACATAAATCAGTGTTTCTTAATCCTCTGCCTGCCGACCCACAGCACTAACTTCAGGTATCTAATTTAGCTCATATACTGGTTGTCAAGCCCTTCATGAGCTGGATAGGTGTGATTTGGTAAGGCAGGGAATGGTTGAAGCTACGCAGTGCTGTAGGTCACCAGTACAGAATTACACATCTGAATCAGCTAATCACTGTATTTACAAGCCCTTCTTGAGCAGGAAAACACTAAAATGAATAGGACGGGCTCTCAGACCAAGGTCTTTTGTAATCACACTTAGGACTTAATGGTGTATGGCAGAAAGCTCACCTCTACACTGTAGATGTCTGTTAGCTGGAGGACTTTTTCCAGAACCAACTTCTAATTATAAATCAAACATTGACACAATTTAACCAACAGAAAAATTATAATGGCTCTTATGGCTCAAGTGACATTAGTTCAGTCTAGTCATGTGTGACTGCTTGCTGAATGACCCTACCCTGGATTAGCCCAGTGACTTGCTATTGCTATAGAAATCTCTGGCTACCTACAAAAGAAGTCATAGTATGGAATATCTGAGTATTTCAGATCACAACAGGTACAAGTTTAAGACTACACTGAAAAGATCTAGTCATCTTCACTGAATAAGAACTGCTCAGAGATGCTTTACAGTCATAAAGTGTGTCGTGAAATAAAAGGCCCAAAACACACCCCCACATTAAGTATGCCAGAACAGAGTGATGCAGCCACATCCAAAACCAAACTGAAGTATAGTTACTCTGATTAAATGAATGTTTGCCATATAAGTAAATATGGTTTCCAATATGATTGTTGTACTGCAGTGGCAAAAGCATCAGTTGCTGGGTTGGCATGTTTATTTAGGGCCTTTTATAAAGAAGTGCTTCACAGCAATGACATTGTGTCCTTGTTTGATTTCTGTTTATGAAACCCAAACACACTCAAAATCATACCATGAAAAACTATTTGTAAAGATACTGTGCATTTGGTGGCAGGTTGTACTTTCCTTCATGACCCTTCAAGTAGTAAAATGTAAAGTGGCATCAAAAACAAAGGTAAGCTGAACAACAGTGAAAGTGGCTGAGGCTTAATCAGGTTGAAAAATTGTGCTAGGCAAGCTCAGAGCATGTAGAGCCCAAGTAAAATTTCAAATTGGGAATTTAAGCATACCAGTATATTTGCACATAACACTTTATGCATAAAACATATTTCTTAGTTGAACAGATAACTTAAAAAGATGTGGACAACAGTTAGAACCGATGCCTAAACTCGTCCAGTTAAATAGTCTGAAATAAGACTTGCTTATGTGATTTCGGACACTGCAAACTCAGGCCCCTTGTTACCCATAAACTGGACAAAAGCATGTACTTCAACATGGCTGCCACTACTATTTTTAGCAATATGAAGACTTTTTTTTTTTAGACTCTCCATACTAGCAGAGGGCAGGGACATAACCTCTGGGACATACTTGTCCTCTCCTCCTATCAACAACCTTAACTTAGAGTTTGGCTTTAAAAATCCAATTTCTCAAGAAATCAGATTTGGTGAAATAAAAGTGAGTACGAGACTTTTTCGCACAAACTATAATGCCACAGCTAGTTTTATTTTATATAAAGAAATGAAATTGCGAAGTTTTAAAAATCCATGGCAGATTAGCAACTTCTAAAAACAGAAGAGCTCATATTATACAACAGAGGAGAGGACATTAGAAAAATAAGTCTTTCCTTTTACATTGACATTGAAACTTATGAATGATACAACATACAGCATTAATACACTAATGCTTGCACTTTCTGTGAAACTGACATTAGAACATTTATTTTATTTTTGTAAATTGTCCCAAAATATTGATAAAACTACAGTATTTGTACTGTAAATAAGAATTTTCATTAATAATATGATTGCATAGTATTACATAGGAGAACATATTTGCCCTAAAGGCACAAAGAAAATTTACCTATAAAACGAACCTCTTATGTATATTTTGGTGGTAAAATATGTATCTAAGATGCATTTTGTTTGAATAATGTTATAATCACATACCTTACGTACTGATAAGAGGGAAGACAAGCTTGTTGTTTCTACGACCTGTAGACTTTAACCTTCCTATTATTTTTGGGGTCGATTTGATCTCATTCAATGTTGAATGTCCCTAAATATATAGCTGACATTTTTTTTGCTTCATATTTAATGACTTAATTTAATGGGAAACAGGAGCAACTTGGTAAACCTAAAATGAACATGATATGTTTTCAATGTTCTTTACACATTTTGTGCGCATCTGTGTTCTTTGGGTTCAGTTTTATTTGTATAAAACATAAGAAATATCAACATTTTACACACATTTGTTTTGGATGATACTGAGGTCACTATAACATGCAATTTTATGAGCTTGCCTCTGATTTGAGCCCTGACCTAACATAACTATACTTGTCGTAGTGCCAGAACCACTGACAGACATGGCATGGAGGAGGGGAAAACATAATTCCCACCAGAACTTTGATATTTCCCAGAGGTTTAAATTGCAGGGGATTTGAAGATAGCAGGAAGGCTAAACACATGCAATTATAAATAATTTTGTGTCACAGCTGGACTTTGTGTAATAACATTTGTTACAGCTGTTCTGAAGACAGAGGTGGTCCGCCGTGTTACTCAACTATTGCTCCTGTTTCCTATTATCTGCCCTATCTGAGATTTAAAACTTTTTCCAGTGAATGAGTATTAGTGCATACAGAAATACCCTTTTTGAATAGGTTAAATGAGCTCTAAAACTAGAGTTTAAGTGTTATTTGTCATGTTAGGCAACGTACTGTAGTTTGGCACAATTCATGATTATGCATACATTTCAAGTTATCATTCATCAATGCTTATGCAAAAGGCCTAGCTACTGATCTATAGACTGATAAATACAGTATTAATGTAACTCTTACCTCAGTCATCTGACAAAATCAGAAGAAACCAGACAAGTTTGTTACCCTTTCAGCCAGAGAAAATTAGCTAAACTGAGGTATGTTAGCAGGCTATCTTGTTAAATTCAGCCCATAGCTTGTTGTCCTTATCTGACAAGTCGTTTCTGTTATTTCAGTAACCCATACTCTTCACCATAATGATGATTTTAGGACAGTTACTATAGTTATACAACTGCAATAAGCTGTTCGGCTCCCTAGCAGTAACATTAGCTATCTTCCTTCCTTTTGCATTCACTAGCTAAAGAAGGTAAGTAAATAAATAAAATAAATAAAATAAATAAATAAATGTGACAACTGCACCCAAAAATCCACCCCAAAAAAGTTGTAGTTTTTCAAAAGCTCCTCCCACCTTCAAGACACATCATCAGAAAGGGGCTCTTAGTTTTTACAATGGACAATCTCACTCTAGACACTGACACTGCTGTAGCATGCATGTTTATGACAGATGGCTTAATTGTTCGTTTTGGCTTGAGTGTCCTTTAAAATCACAACTCACATATGGAATTACCAAGTTATTGTACGGGCTTTGGACAATTAAACACTTAAGAAAATAAGCACAGTTTAGTTTAGCAAAAATGAATCTCGGCCCACAGGTATTTTCTTCTATTACAAATTTATTTTGAATAAGAAACACAAAAGTGACAACATGACACCCAAAAGTGGCACTGTATCGAGACGCAACATCTTCATTTAGCACCTGTATGGTTTGATTATATCTATATATTCATTCATACAAAAATGGTTATGTTTGTCAGTCTTACAAAAAATATGACTAGAAAGGTGAAATATCTGGATTATAAAAAACAGTTCGTTCTACTCAGCGCAAGTACCATTTTTGGTGTTAACTCTCCCTCTCAGAGTACCACTGATCGTACCACAATTCTAGTCTATCAACATATTCAGACTTCTTTTGTGGACCTTTTTTTTTGATTATTACAGTGGACTTATGTGAAACTTCAGCCCACGTGCCTACAGAAAATAACCAGAGTAAAAAAATGTTTGTAGTCCTATTCACCAAACCCTGTTTTCACATTAAAATATCACCACAAATTACTGCATTTTACACATTGAAATATGTATTATGAAGAACAGACCTTCAGAACTAATTGCCATGTTATGTTAGGCAGCATGAACTCATACGTTCAGCTTGGAGGAACATGGTTGCAAGGATTTGAGAAAATACCACTTAATAATGCCATTTCATAGCTGCCTTATTAAAAACACCTTTAAAACTTGGTGAGGTTTGTTTCTGTACTTGTTGATTAACATTTCTCTCGTTTTCAGCATGACTACTCCTTTGCAACCATATGAGTCCTGTTTGCTGTTTCAGTTTCTCTGTGAAAGCCTAACAGTGTCTCAATGGAAAAAACATGATTTTAATAATCTGCATCATTTAAAAACACATGCATACCTCTCTGCAGGCTGTGCAGGAACTCTAATGAGCCCAGAGATCAGAAGAACTTGTATCTGGCAGTATGTCAAGACAAATATTTTCAGAGGGTAGGAAGGTGCCTCAAAGATTTTCCTATGTTAATCATAGTATAGTGCACCCTGCATAATTTGTGAAATATTTGTAGAAAAAAATTCCAGGCAATATTTGGAGAAGGAGACACTTTTTTTTTAACAGCAAGTTTAGGGCGACAAGACTGAATGCATGTTAGATTTGTTGATGCTAACCTGTGCAAGACTTCCAGCTTTATACAGAAACCCTGTTCCTACCATCAAGGATAGACAATAACTTTAAAGAGCTATCCTGCATTTATACCAAATGTTATATCTCAGTCACTTACTGAGTGAGGCTCACAGTTATTATATGATTAAAAGTCACATACAAGTGTCACTCGTTCATTCACTCATTGACTCATGCATTCATCCTGCACACGCACACTTATCCCCAGCATGACCTTCCCCTACATGACATCCACAAAGAACTCACTGGGGTTGCCCATGGCCAGATGGAAAGACTGCCTAGATGCTGTGAGCTCAGGTGGGACAGACCCCAAGTCGCGAGTAGGAGGGGCCCCAGGAGGTCCTCCGGGATTGTTTGGGGGTGGCATGCCGGGGTGTAGTGGTGCAGTGGCTGTCTGGGGGTGCGGGGCTCCCAGTGCTGGGTGTGGATGTGGGTGTTGTGGCACCATCATCACCATCATTGGATTGTAGGGAATGGGAATGCCAGGTGGGTATGGGGCCAGATGAGGGGGCGGGGCCCGATGATGTGAGCGCTGACTGGCGTGGCTGTGCTCGCTGGGTGTTGCCGAGCCATGGTCCCGCCTCAGGCTGCTGCGCACAGAGTATTCTGATTCACTGCCACTGCCCGAACGTGAGTCAGCCCCACCCCCGTTTGGAGATTTGTCGTCACGGGTACTGCCGCCCACCGTGCTGCCAGCTCCGCTCTTACTGCCCCTTCTCCTCTCACCCTCACTCCGAGTAGACCCGCTGCTCCGACTCCCTGAGAGACATGAACAAAAAGGAACAAAAAGAGTAAATAACACTAAACAATACATAACTACAGAGGCAAATTAGGCTAATACATGGTTCACCAATACCTCTTACATGGGCTTCATTTGCTAGCGAAATGAATGGGTATCAGTGTTATAAAAAAGAATCCATTATGTTTTAAATACAGAATATCACCAAGATCTTCCACGAAGGCTCTACACTATAAGCCCTTGATTAGCTAATACAAGTGAAATAAAGAAAGGAAATACACAATCAGACTGAAAAGAGGCTCATACCCTCGCTGTGCTGGCTACCAGTGCTGCCAGGGGCGTAACTGTAGCTGGAGAGCTCATGGTATGGAGGAGGTTGGCTAGAGTACGGGTGTGGGTACTGGTATGGGAAAGAATGGAGTAGAGGCCAGGGTGTCGCCCCTGGTAACGGCAGAGGAGCCAACGTGTCCTGATCTGAAGCACCGCTGGAACCATCATTATCGTTGAGGGACAGGTTGGCCATGTCTGAGAGATAAGCAGAGAATGAGAGGGAGAAAGCAAAGGACAGATGCTAATTTGTAAAAAACAACTGATTTATATTGCCATAGTAATTATCTTCCTCTCCTTGATTGTTTTCTCTGCCAAGTCAGCTACATGTTTACAGATATATTTTATACAATTTTGTACAGGACAATAAAAAGAAAAAACTTGTACCACTTACAGTTCTCACAGTCGCTGAAATCTCCAAAAATGTAGTAGCACTGCTCAGAGAAGGTGATTTTATTGACAGTATGTCTGATGAACCCAGCCTTTAATAGGTTACTGGCATATTTACGGGCCTCTCGGCGGTCCTGAAAGCCTTCAATGTGGTGGTAGAGCCACTCGACCACATCTGAGCCTGTACATACACATGTGCACACAGTATTTCACTCTTTTCAGTTTCTGTCTCCAAACAGAACAAATTTTCAAATGTACTGGTAACTAGTATTTGACAGACACCCTTACTGAGCCTAATCTGAATTGACCTCACGTACATTAATTCTAAAACACAAGTTAAAAGGCAGGCGCTTGAGATGAGTGAATCTCATTTAATGAGTCTCATTAAAATGTCTTACCCAGGAAGGCATTTGGGATGGTGATCTTGAGCCACATTCTGTCTCTGACCTCTAGGCCTGACTCAGGAGAAGCCATAGCTTTTGCCACTGATGCCATATCAGAATGCAGAGACAGATTAAACTCATCAAAACCTAAAGGAAAACAGACAGAGAGTGAGATTTTTAGTTTGTGTATAGACCACAAGCTACTGAGCTGACAGATAAAAGTTAAGAAGATATGGTCATATGGTCACTGATAGTCTCTGACAAACAATAACAGCATTTCATAGGTGAAGAATAAAAAAAAATGAGTATGAAGTATAAAGCACATACGTACGTTCAGTCTCAGTGACTGAAGAGCTAGACGTAATTGTACTTCCTGGATAAGGTGGATAAGCCCCTGTCAGAGCCGCTGAATGACTGATCCAAGCTGCAGGGTCTATAGGGCGAATAGGCTCATCTGGACGAAATAGGGGAACATCATATCAGAGATGAATACCATGAAGAACATGGACATAAATCATTTCAGTATACCAAATCATGTTTCTGGAATTTTACATGACTCACTGCGTGGAAGCGTGAAGTAGCCTTGAGGTGAAGGGTCCCAGCATTTAGCAACCGTCAGAGTGATGGGTCTGAAATATTGTTGACGGCAAAATGAATCAAAAATCATCACATTTTCCTTCACCATGACGTTTCCGAGTGAAACGTGTAATACACAATAATAAACGAGGGCGGTATTATTGCTTTGTATTATTTTTCACTGCCTGCTGGGGCATGGTTAACCAATCAAAACTCAAAAGATGTCTTTGAAGCAGGCAAAAGTCATTACATTTGACAGAAGATTATAGAAGAACAAGAATTTTGTCTTTTCAATAATATATATGAAACTGAATTGTGCTTAATGTGACCGGGCACATAAACTTAACAAGGTAAAAACCTCCATTCTGATTTCAGACTGACTTTAAGGACAGACAAGCTTCATAATCATGACATATACACATTATTTTTCTCTCACTCACGCCTTAGACAACTCACCCCGGTTTATGCACAATCTCCCGCAACACCCTGACTGCATCGTCATTGCTCATGTTCTCAAAATTAATATCATTCACCTGTGAAAAAACAGCAACATTTATACACTTTCTATGTGAAGACTACTAACTAAAACAGGTCATTAAACCAAATTAATTACTCTTTTAAACTGAATACAAATACACACAAAGGAACAATGATCAGCTAAAATTGCAAGTCAAAGGGCTGTAAATTCTGCACCTAACAGATAAGTGTGCTATACTTGGAGAATTGACTCCACTCATCTAAAAAATCCCTTTCTTGTGCAAATAACTGAAATTCAAACTGTATTTTGTAACATAATCTCTTGTTGGAGAAAAACAATGGACATACAAAGGGTCAGCTAATGATGGGTAATTTTGGGTAATTTACACTTCTGGTCACACCCACACCTGTTCTGCTAAAACTCCCCACCCCTCCTTCCCAAACAGACCTGAAGCAGCATGTCCCCAGGCTCTATGCGCCCATCAGCAGCCACTGCTCCTCCCTTCATGATGGAGCCAATATAGATGCCTCCATCTCCTCGCTCATTACTCTGCCCAACAATACTGATGCCCAGGAAATTATACTTCTCTGTCAGGCAAACACAAACATACACCAGTCAGACACCCATGGTCAAGCAGTTATAGAACAACAGTCTCCGAAAATGTTTAATAAATAAAATAACCTGGGAAAACAATAAACAAGATCATACAGAGTGGAAATTTCATAAATCCTATTAGACTAAACAACTGGCATACTAACCCATGTTCAGAGTGACTGTGATTATGTTCAGAGACATAGTTGAGTCTGTCACGCTGCTGAAAGATGATGCCTGCAATAAAAGAAAAAATCTTGAGAAAAAAACAGAAGAACATTTTTAAAAAGTGCACCTTGCCTGAAATTAAGTGTGTAGTACCCTCTCAAGCCTTGGGGGGCGCTGTTTCCTGCGTCTACGGTGGCGCTTCAACAGTCTAGAGGCAGTGCTCTGTTCTGTGGAACTGCTGAATCTTAACATAAACATTTACATCCGAATCAGAAACTCATTTTATTTTAAAAGTATAACACAAGTTTGTGCTTGTGCTCATGTGTGATGAGTTAATCCACCACTGACCTGCTCATAGTGTCATCATCGTCTGAGTCGCAGAAGCTGGTGGTGTCCAGCTCACTGCTCATCACCGTGGTGGCACTCTCATAACCAGCCAAGTGCCTCTCCAAGCGGGATGGACCATTCATACGAGACCCTACAGAAAAACAGAGAGTGAGAGGAAGGGGAAGGAGTGAGACGTTTCTTGCTGCTTGGTCAATTTTCTGATCAAATCGTTAGTTTATTGGATTTCGTTTAGTATGAAAACAATTAAATGTGGAGTCAAATCTTACCATGTGGCTCCATGCTCTCTCTGTGGCGAGGCCTCTCTCTTCTGAAGGACACGACAGATTCTGTCTCTGTCTGCTCGTCCAGCGTCTCCACACTGCCTGCAGTGTTGGGACTATAACACCAGAAAAACAGAAACAAGAAGCATTTCACATTCAGTTCTTTTTCTGCAACTGTACAATGATAAAGGCTCGTGTTAAACTTGCAGTTTATGGGAAAAACATCCCAGCAGATGCTGATGGTGCTTCAGAGCGTTTATTGTAGATCCAAGCGTCTCAAGATCATAGTTACTAACTTTGGTGATTTAAATTAGTGGATTAGAGGTGATCCTGCTTCAACTACTGCTGTTGTGTACTTGAACAAGAACACCCCAACTACATACAAACATCTTCAGGAGGGCGACAAAACAACGTGTCTTTTGCCGTTCTTCCTCCAGGCAGTGCAGGATGGTGTGCTACAGTTATAAATCTGTAATCACGTATTTTGTCATTATTTGCATTACCAAGTGACCCGTACTGCACCCACAACAGAACATGGTCACCTTTCCTTTTGGGGTACTAAACATACCCAACCTGGATGTATAAGCAGAGCTAAAAATAGTGCAGATCACTGATTGGCCAAACGCAATCATCCCAGAATTGTCACGTGTTGTCACTTAAGTCAGACGACCACCATTTCTAAAAAAACACCAGCTAGCCAGAATCACTGTTCATGACTCTTCACATAAAACAAATGTAGTAAAAAGTAAATCAGAGCTTAGTTACCGTTAGGTTAGCTATTGCTGCTATTGTTGTTTGTTTAGTGCTAATACAAACTTCATGCGACCACCACAGAACCCCAAATACTTTCAGAGTTCTGCTGTGTGTGGGAAAATGGACACAGGGTACTCCACCAGGGTAGAGATAGTTCTGGGTTCGAATTCATACCTGTACCTTGCCATATGAACTGCCTAGTGGAAAAAAGCTAAAAGTAAGGAGTTGAGTTACCACAAGTCACCAGAACAGCTTCAATGTGTCTTGTCATAGATTCAACAAGTCTCTAGAACTGTACTGGAGGAATGGAACACCATTCTTCCAAAAGATATTCCCTTAATTGGTGTTTTAATGATAGTGGAGGAGAGCACCATTTAACACATCAGTCCAAAATCTCCCATACTGTCACCAGATGTCCATACAAATTGACATCTGGTGACAGCAAAGGCCATAGCATATGATTTATATTATTTTCACAAAAACATTCTGGGACCCCTCGAGCCCTGTGAATGGGGACAGTGTCATCCTGAAAGCCACCAAACCTCCTCACTGTAGAGGTCAAGCATTCAGACCGTACCGTTCTCTTGGTGTACAGCAAGCAAGCACTTGCCCACTTGAGGAGAATAAGGTAAAAGATGCCTTATGAGACCATATCACATTTTTTCTGTATCACTGTAGACCAGTGTCTATGGCTTTTGCACCACTGAACTCTCAAAAGTGCATTAGTCTTTGTAATGAGAGTTTTATGCACTGCAGTCCTACCATAATATCCTTCTCCTTGTAGTTGTGGACAGACTTGTCTTGCTGACAGTCTGATTACATCCCGCACCGACATTGAGATCTGGTGACAGCAAAGGAAACCGATGCTCTTGTTTTTTTTCCTTTCATATCACACTAATGCACAGTCATCACAGTCACCGAATGTGAGCTTTCACCCTAATTTCCAAGCCTATTTACAGTGCCTTCCACAAATATTGGCAACCCTGCTAATCATGAGCAAAATGAAAAATAAATTTAAAAAATGTAAAATATTCTTAATTACTTATTAATATTACTTATCCTTTTGATCTTTCATTCAAAGTATCTGCAAAAATCTAACCTTTATTTAAGGTATAATGATTTAAAGAAAAAAGTAAATCTTGTCACGAAATAAATGTTTTTCTAAAAACCATATGTGCCACCATTGTTGGCACCCCTTGAACTTCTTAAGAGTGAAATCTAACTGAAGTATATTCCCATTAAAATGCAATGTTTTAAAGTTCACCTGAGCAATAAGGAACACAAATTGTCAGCCACGGCTTCCTGTTTCACTAGGGAATATATATGAGATGAAACACAGGCCAAATTACCCTCAGTCATCCATCACTATGAGGAAGACCAAAAATACACCAATGTGCAACAAAACGTTGTTGAGTTGCACAAAGACTGGCTACAAGAAAATAACAAAACAGTTGAAAAGCCCATTTCCACTATCACGACAATAATTAAGAAGTTTAAAACAACTGGAGATGTTAAGAATCTGCCAGGAAGAGGATGTATATCTAGACTGACCCCATGCACAGTGAGGAGGATAGTTCAAAGATGGGGAATGCAGACATTAGTTCAGTCTTGGGGTCAGAACGTCTCCCAAACCATAATTAAACATCACCTATATAAGCATAAGTTGTTTTGGGGGGTTGCCAAGAGAAAGCCACTGATGTCAAGAACCAACAAACTCAACCAGCTACAGTCTGCCAAACATTGCTAGAACTTTCAGTGGGTCTGTGTTCTGTGGTCAGATGAGACCAAAATAGAGGTTTTAGCCAACAAAGACCAGAAGTGAGTTTGGCATGGATGCAAAGAAGTACCAGCACATAATTAAATCAAAACTTGACCACCTCAGCCAGAAAGCTTAAACTGGGCCATTGTTTGGATCTTCTGGTAGGACAATTATCCAAAGCGCACCTCAAAATTAACACAAAAATGGTTCACTGACCACAAAATTAAGGATTTGGCATGGCCACCCGAGGCCCCTGAACTGAACCCCATAGAAAACCTGTGGGATGAGCTGAAGAGTCCAGTCCAGTGTGGACTTCAAAGTCTGAAAGATGTGTAGAGGTTCTGTATGGAGGAAAGGACTCAGATCCCTTGCCATGTGTACTCCAGTCATGCAGATGTCACTTTAGTCACTGTTCCCACTGAAACACTCTGCAGTTGAGCAGTCTTTGTGACTGAATCTCTTTCAAAGCCACTTAAGCCCTATTCGGATGGGATTAGTTTTACATGAGGAGGTGGGGTAATGTAAATTACCCCACCGGTGTTTCTCACTTATTTTAACCCTGTCCGAACGCGCCATGTCAGTTCATTTTTTGAACTGCGCACTCCTGCTTCAGTAAAGATTCTGGTGCCTTTTACCTTCCATAAACTGAGGAGTAGAAATAACCTCAGGATATATTAATCCTGTATGAATCAACATGTTGGTAAAAACTATCATATTCTGAGGCAAGTTCATTAAGTATAGATGCACTTTAAGAAGCATTTACATGTGTTTTCTGTGGTTAAAATCAAGTCAATATGTAACATTACTGCCCTATCTCACGTGTACAACTCAGAACATGTACAAGTTACAGAAAAAAAAGTTTGATTTTATGTGGTAAAGTGACTGTTTACTGAATTCCCAAACTAATGGCAATGCTAATGACACATTACATTCACTTAAAACAACAAAGTAAATGGTTAGAGCAAACAAACTAATAGCTAAATTAAAAATTTTAGTTCTCTACTCTTTTCTGAAGTGAAGGTGGCACCTACATCAACTAGCCACTCCAATCTCTGTCACTTATACTGAGATTTCTAACCCCGTGTGAATCGTTCATAAACATTACAAACGTCCTGTGGTGAACTGGCATTACCCCCCACCTCCCCATGGAAAACTAACCCCGTCTGAAAAGAGCTTTAGATATTTTCTTCTTGCCATCTTGATCAAAATCAGCTGGGCCTAATAAGCACTTTTATACATGCCACAGACATGGTAGGATGTTAACTGCTTAAACGTTTCAAGGATCTTTTGACCATAATTACATTAATAGTACACACTGGTATTTTAAGAATATTGAGTAGCTGGTAGCACTTACTAGCACTTTATTCGGTCCTAGTGGGTAACTTTTAAGCATTAACAACTGATGTTAAAACACAACTGGTCAAGTCAACATATCTGTGTGTCCTAATCTTGCAGAGTATCTGCATGTATTTGCTTCATCTTTGCACAGTTATCTAAGCCCTAATTTGACTTAACACCTTGATAAAGAAGCAAAACTTAGTGGGTGAAGAGACTGTAGAAACTGGAGCCTCATGGAGCACCGACATTCAAGCACTTCACATTGCCCAAGAACAAGATGTTGTGCAATGTAGGAATTCATGGGTCAAGTAGTATGAAAAGAAAAGGGTCCAAGAGAGTCCGAGAAGAGGCTTACTGGAATGAGGGGGGTCTAGAGTCCCCGATGCCCCCAGTCCGCTCCGCTGGAGGGGGGGGCAGTGGAGGAGGAGGAGGGGAGGGTTGAGTTCGAACCTCCACAGGAGGAGGCGGCGCAGGTTCTGCTGCAGGAACATCTGAGGATACCAGCTATAAAAAAAAACAAGAGAGATAAAATTATTACAAATACTTCTGGAAGTCTGTAAGCTTATTAAAACATTAACTTATTTCTAGGCATTGTGACTTGTTTTAAGTGATATAATCAAGTGAAATTCTCACTATACTGGCACAGAATTTTGCTTGTCTCAAGAAATATGCTTGAAACTAGCTAAATTGTCTGTCAATACAGTGAGATAGTTTCACTTAACTAAATCCTAATCTATTAAAACAAGAATGGCTAGAAATAAGTTAAATAATATAATAAGATTACAGCAATCTCAAAATGAGAAATATTAGATCTTCAGACTAGACTTAAGATAATTTCACTTTCCAAAATACCATTGTTGCAGTGTAAAATCTATGAAACGGGCAGTAAAGCTGCACAAGTTTCATTACAGCATCTTGCTGCCTTCCTGTCTGCCTGGTTAAACCTTGCCAGAAGATGATTTGACGTGTTTCAATATAATTCCCTGGAAACGAGCGAGTTAATGATTCAGTGATGCCTACAGAAGACATAACACCATATCAAGTTTTTCTTCCATTCACCCTCACCTGATACGATCTGTGTGTTTAGACAAACTGTCAGCATGGGACCAGAGGCCAATCATGAATAAGGAAATAATGGGGAAAAAAAAAATCTGCCAATGTGATATGTTATTAAGACTTCAAGGAAATTAGCAGATATAGCTTAAGTTACAGGGGAAAATATCAGCTTTACTTGTAGTTCAAGTCTCCACCCTCTAGGAAAAATGAAAAACAGTACAGTGCTGCAAGTGACAAATATCCGGTGTCTCTAAATTACATAACTAACATTTAAAAGACAAATAAATCAAAGTCTTTCTCAAGAGCTGCCAGTGTATAAAAACAGTCCTATTCACTGCTACCTGAAGCTATTAACCCCACTTAAAACCACTCAGCCTTTCTAACCACATTTGCTACAATGATTTAAACAATGCGATCAAATATCCGTATTTACCTACATGCTAATCATACCACCCTAGGTATTCTCAGATTAACTAGATCAAAGCTTCCCAATAAATCAGTTTGCAAAACTGGTGGGAGACTGAAGCCCCTTTGTAAAGAAAGGTGAATGGGAGAAAACCTCAATCTGTGCACCTGTCTCCCATCTCCTTTTCCAAGCAGTAATGGATGCTGGACTATTGTGCACCCTTCCTCCAGGGAGTTTGAGCCACCCTGATGCTGGTGTAGCCTTTCCATCCCAGTGGATTTAGTTTTGTCCAAGCCTTTTGACTTAAGAACCTGTTTCTCATTGAGAGTTTTTAATTCAAGGCTGGGTTTTTTACTTTCTCTGTGAAAGGCTGAGATACACACTTGGGGCTTTTTGAGTCTAGAATAAGATACTAAGGAAATGTGGGTCAAATGATGGGGCCTGTCCTAAGGCTACACTGTTCCGCTGGATGACGCAAGTTTGCTAAGAACTCATTAGGTGAAAACATACTGCAAAGAGGCAAAAGAGGCTTCATTTGTGTATTTGTTTCAAGGACATGATGCACACGATAGGACCCAACTGATATATTGGTTGGTCAATAATATCAGCCAAAATTTAAGCCCCAAGGGTTCATTGGTATCAGCATAAATCTCCCCAATAAAGCATCAATAATAATCTGTTTTTATGTTTTTTATTTATTCCCTTTCTTACCTTGGAATTTGTGATTTTTCAGCTTACATTTACCAACTACCTACTTCTGTTTTGTGCACTGTGGACCAGCCAAAAAATAGCCAAAAAATGTATCATCAAGGATTCAAACAACACTTCAACCTGTAGTTCATATTCCTTTGAGTTTCTACTGGTTATTTGAGTTTAAGAAACCCGACAACTGACAATCACATCTGTTAGTAAAGCACTAAAACTAAAACTATTTTAAGTCACTTTAATTTTTTGCTGTTTTAAATTACATTTGCCAATCATTGGTTATTGGACCTCCTTAAACTTGGTACTGGTCATAAAATGTTCCAAACAGTCCAGCCCTATAACTTCTACCCTTTAACCTCTAAAAGGCAAATTCAGTAAATCTTCAGTCGAAAGTACCAAACAAGCATTAAAAAGAAGAATGAAGAAGGCAGGAGAAAAAAAGGAGAGAAAGAACCAGTACAAACCCAGGACACCACTCGTCCATTGAAGCAAGGCAGCTTGGCGCTGTCATCAGAAATCTCCTCCTTGACCACTCTGAAAAGAGATGTACAGTGATTAATCAGTTTAAACCCAGTCTCAGCCTCCAAACAACTTCATGCACAAACATATAGACCTCAGAAGCTGTGCATCATTCTGTAGTCTTCACACCCATATTAGGAACACCAAGTCTGAGGTGGTTTGCTTATGGAAAAAACTAATGGAGTTTAAGAATTGCTGATTTTGCAAGCTATAGTAAACAAAAATGTTCAAAGCTGTTATGTTTTGTGTACACTTCTCCCCCAAACATCACTGGATCCTCTGAAATATGAAGACGGTAAGGAGTCAAATTATGAAATGTTGCATGCAAGCTACAAGCAAGCTGACACTCCTGTGCACTGAAATGATGTTGCACGAACGTCTACCATTAACATTCAATACTATTAAATACCAACACCAACTACTGTAGGTTACTACAGGAAAAAAAACTTAACTACCAAATTTCACAAAGCTTCCTGTTTTTTGTAGGGCATTTTGGTAGGTCTTATGATATCAGTTAAACGTGCAGCAGAGTTAGCTTCCATGTAGCAATATTTATATTTTGACTCCTTAAAGCCCTTATAATTCAGAGGAAAAATGTATCAGGTTTGCAATGTTTTGTTTACAGGACAGCAGCGATTTTCAAAAACGTCATTCATTTGTCCCATAGAGATTTCAGCTTAGATCCAGAGTTCCCAATACAGGCATGACGTTGACTAAAGAATGACAACACCACTTCAGAGGTCTATAGTAATTAGCCGTAAACTTCTCTCAGTCTTAGACACTCCACACTCACGTAATCTGAGCATCTAATAATTTTTGCACTTGAAGCTGGCCAAAACTATCGGGATTTTATCAGTTTAATTCTGACTGACTACTCGTACATCTGTGTGTGCGCACTTCAATGCAGCGGGTTTAATCTGTCTAATAGAAAACAAACTTTGCAAGCAGTTGCCAGCTCTGCTTTGCATGTTGTGACTGAACCTTTCACAGTAAGACAAAAAAAAGTTTGTGAAGTTCATGGCATTGCCTCTTTAAACTTTCTTTGAAGAATTTAGGAATTAAAGGCATGAGGCCTTTAAGAAAGATATCTTTGCTTGTTTGCCAATGCATAGTCATGTGTTTTCCACTAACTTTCTTTTTCTTGTAGCCCCGTTTTGAAAATCGCCTCCCCTTAAAACACTGGTCACCAACCTTACTCCCAGTGATCTACCTTCCCTGCTGACTTCATCACCAACCCTAATCGATGCATCTAATGACTGCCATCAGAAGTCTTATGAATGAGGCTGAATGAGGCATGTTAGGTCTGGTTTAGAGGTGAAACCTGCAGGACGGTAGATCTCAGGAGGAGAGTTGGTAACCACTGCACTACAACAAAGGTGGAAAGGAGGAAATACACCAGACTCTGCACCAGTTTTGCTTATGAGACTATCCACGAACTGCAGTCCACCATCCCCACTCCACCCATCTGAGGATGCACCACCACTACTCACCCAATTGAGGTCTACTGAAATTTGCATGAACATTTTAAAGGATATCTTGCATCAGATGGCCCTGCTAGGACTGACAACCCTGAAAATAAAGTCCTACAGTAAGGCATTCATCTCATGTATTATTTAATAAGCATCAACAACCTTGATATTTGAGAAGTATAGTTACAGCTATCTTGGCAGAAAACAATACAATTACACTGTAAACGATTTAGTGAGCACTCCAATTTGAATGCCTGGACATGCACATGCCCCTTCTTTTATTTTTAGTGTAACAATACAATTGATGTACACTGGAAAGTAGTATTACTAGTCAGAGGTATTCCCTGAGGAAGCTAAGACCAATTAGATTTCTTTCCTACTGATTCTGCAGTGAAACTACATCAGATTCAGACATCACAGCAGACCTCTTGATGGCTAGAACTTATCGTTTGTTCAGCCTCTGAGCAACAAAACTGTACTCACACATAAACAACAGGGATGTAACAATGCACATACATTCAGGTTTGATATGATTTTCGACTCGACTCAAGATTTCATTTGACTTTCACACTCTAATAACTATTAATAATAATATCACTTTAACACTCTGAAAGAGATTTTTTTCAGAGATTAGCTCTGAAAAAAAGAGCTAATCTCATCCTAAACTATATGTACACTGAGCCTCAACACATTCCTGTCTGCACTTCAACCTAATAGACTGCTTAATGATCCTACACCAACAAACATGACGCAACCGAAGACTATTTCACACAGCGCTTTAAAATTCCTCAGACCAGCCCCCCCACCACAGTTAACCGGTACTTTCCGAAATAATCACGCTCACAAACCCGTTAATGACCCTCATCTGGACCTGAGAAACGACCCCTGAAACCTTGCACAAACAGACAGAAGCACTTCAGAAAAAAAAAAAACTGCACACAAATGCACACATACACGACATCTCCTCTTAATACATTATTCAGACTGAAACAGCAACAAACGGCATTGAAATAAATGACTATTTTGTCATCAGACAAAAAAATACAACAAATAATACAACACCAGATTTCTTAGTCACAACACAAGGTCCTGATCAGCACACATATTCAGAAACCTCAATGGACTCCAGCATGCTGTATGAATCTAGATTAAGATGTAAGAGATAAAGAGGTAAAAAAAAATAAGGACAGAAGAGCAGCAGAAATGTGGTATGAAAGATACTATCCAACAAGCAGAGTGAAGAGAATGGGCAAAGGAAAACAGACAGAAAATAAGATAATTTGGACTATGACTAACCCAGGGCAACAACCTATATCGTTATGCTGGTATCAGTGATACTGACTGTTAGTTTCAGCTTTACTGATGGATACAAAAATGTAGATGATTGCAATAAATGTAATTTGCTGTTGCAAATGAGTAGTAAGTTTCCTGCATTCTCAAAACGGGAATGGTTTGATATAGAATCATGAACAGTTAGAGATCCTTTTGAATGCATACAGGGTTCTCTGCACGATCAACACACACACAACAAGCACACACACATTTTATATATATATATATATATTATATATATATATATATTATTATATATACTATTATATATATATATATATATATATATATATATACACATATATATATATATATGTATATATGTGTGTGTGTGTATAATATATATACGTATATACACACATACATATGTATGTATTAATATATATATGTTTTATAGACATATATACTTATAAAGTCAAAGAACCTTTTTTGCTAAGAGTGTATCTGGAAATGAGACTTTACTCTTAAGAGAAACACAACAGAAAACACAGTTAAATCAAATCAAGCTACATCAGGTTTGTAAGATGTTCTTTTAACCTAGAGTAGCAGGACACAAGAATCATAAGGTCATTTACTTTATTAATGCAAATTTATAAATGATATTTATAACTTTATAATTTATAAATGATATTTATAAATAAATGTTATCTAGGCCTGTTACAATGATGAAATTTTAGCTGATGATTAAGCCAAAGAAATAACTGCGATTAACAATTTAAATGTCTTTCTGGTTCACTCTATGAAACTACTGAAGCACAAACCTGTAGTGGTCATATAGCTGGCAGACTAGCCATCTTGCTTCCTAGCTGTTGATACTGGATAACTGATGACAGATACAGCACCAGCTCAAATAAACAAACGTTACTCACCGCTGACCTCTAAAGGTGTTATAGCACCACTCAGAAACTGTTTTCGTAAGACCCATGATGTCAATACATTTCTCAATACATTTTATCTATTTTCTTTTATTTACATGCTTTTGCCTCAACCCAACACATGAAACTCCATCAAATTAACTGTGACGTAAATATATGACTGAGGAAGCTAACAACCGTAGAAAGTAACTGCGGTCAGCTCCAATTATTGCAATTAGATGATTATGTAATAATTGTGACAGGTATAATATAATCTAATAGCATGATACATTCAGAAAGTACCATAACGCTGATTTTTATCAATATCACCCAGCACTATGCCCAGATCCTACACTAATCCGAGCTCCAGAGTTTAGGGGATTACATTAGGAACAAGGCAAGATACGAACAGCGACCATCAGAAACCAACCCCCATGTCTTCGGCACATACACTCTCTCTCACTCACTCTAGCACACTCATGGTCTCTTTCTCTTCATGTTGATTCTGCCCAGACACCCAGCAAATGGCCTCTCTCCAACCCAACTACACCCCCCACACCACACACACTCTCACATACACACCCCACTCCAGCCCTTCCCTACCACACACAGACAGGCTGACAGCTGGCTCCATGCACAGCAAATCAAAACAGCAGCATCAGAGAGAACCTACTTCCCGCTCCCCTCCACCACCATATCACCTTACAACCCGCCTATGCATTTCTGCACTTCAACAATAACACACACATGCACGCAACCAGGTCAACTGCATTCAACAGCACACATTTCAATTAGACACCAACGGTTCTCTGATTCCTGAGATGAGAACACAAAACCATGATTGAGCTTTAAATTGTTTATTTTGTACATTTATCTAGGACTGAGCAATACAACATGTTATCATAATTGCAACTGTCATAAATTAGGTCAGTACTTCCAGCAGTACTTCTAGAAAAATGAACGAAAGCATTTATTATAAAGACTTGGACCAACTATAGAGAGCCTGTAAACAAGAGCCAGTATTTAGTTACTGCACAAACTGCACAGGAAAACTTGTGATTCTGATGTCGCTCATTATAGCACTTACATAGCGTTTTTTGAATGCAGCGTGGTTTTGCTCGTGCATTTTGTCTGTTTCTATTTATTTGCAAAACTCAGGAAAACAAATTATCATGGTACATAGTGTGCATGATGAAAATCTCCTAAAGTTTTAAGATTTTATATTATTTGCCATATAAAGCTTCATTGATTCCAGGTGGAAAATATGGCCCACCTTTTAATTTATTCAGATTTTACATTTATTTAACAAGACATGAAAGACTTCTGTCTTGGTGATGGCAGTTATTAGACTGCAGACTTGGCTGTTCATATTTACTGATACAAAAATAAACGGAATTGATTAGTCTACTCAATGATGTTAGCAGATGTACGCTTTAAGGCTACTTAAAGAGGAATTCCACAGATTTTTTTTAAATTCTGCGTAAATCTAATGTTGAGATGTGAACAAAGTCATTCAGTGTGGATGTGAAACGGTGCATTGTGGTTTTATATTTAATGCTATAAGGGTAAAGTAGTGGTTAATCAGAAAAAATGTGCTGGAGGAATATCTTACAACACTCTGTATGTACCTCTCCACCATGAACTGGCTTTTAAATGAATTTTATACCAAAAAACTACTGTAAAATAATCTCTCAGGCATATCCATAACCATTTTGGGTAAGATCTGTGTTTTAGAGGGATTAATTGCTTCAGCTGTCTGGTTTCTATCACCACTGCTGTGAACACACTTTGAAAAAATGGTGGTATTCCCCTTTAAACTAGTGAATTTACTGTGATCTGATACTACTGTATGTTTTTCATAGTTAACAGAGCCAATAAGTACACCAGCTTGTCCATGACATGTGGTCTCTTCTGGGGGGGAAAGGGAAGCCAAAGTAGTCAATAATCTAATTTTCTCCTTTTAACAAATATGTTCCATGAGAGCGTGGGAAAGGAGACCTTGACAGGTTTCCTCCTGCAATAGATCCACTAGGTGTTTGGGATAAAGGACAGAGCCCAGCAAAGGGGAAAAAAAAGAATATCGTGGCAAGGATGTGGCATGTTTCCAGGAAAGGAGTATTCACAAGATGACAGACATGCGAGGAATTGAGATTAGGAGACAGACTAGCGAAAGAGGTTTCTTTTTCTTAGAAGAACTCAATAATTAAATAAATCACTGTTGAAACTGCCCGTGTGTGACTCTTGAGTCAGTGTGGATTTTAACAAAACCACAGACTGCATGTGTACGCTGAACTTTGGTGGGTCTGATGCTTAAATAAGATAAATAAGATGGACAAGATAACTAGCGTACGTTTTAAATCATTCTACCCAACTTTAAATCAACAGACCAGCTGTCCTGCTCAGGTTTGTCCCTCACAGACAGACAGACTCCCAGCAGTGAGTAAAGCTGATACTCTGCTGCTACCTTGAACAATGCAGGACAAACCTGGGCAGCCCCGCTGCTGTTAACCCGTTAAACTGTCAGCTTTTTCCTCCAGAATAAACTCCTAAAACCTCCATCGGTCACATCAACAGCTCGTGTGGAACAGAAATCACCAATGACAGTAAGAAAAGCAACCTTTCCCCGTGTTTTCTGGCCATTTTCTAGCTACTTTTCTTTCTCTCGGCCTCATTATTTGCATGGCAACCCGCTCCTGCAGAGCCCCCACTCTATCTCTCTCTCTCTCTCTCACGCACACTAACTCTCTCTCACTCACCCGAAGTCCTGGTCCATAGACTTGAAGAAGAATTTGTAGTTCGGCTTGTTCAAGACTTGCTTGAAATCCAATAAAGTGATTTTTTCGGCCGGTATGGGAATCTTCACCAAATACGGCGTCTCCTCTTCATCGATGTGATAAATTATTTTAGTTTCCGCCATTTTCCGAACACTTTTCCTTCCCCTTGCTCCACAAAACTATGGGAGAGGTAGCCAACAGGCTAACGTTAGCTTAGCTAACCAGAGGAGGAGGAGGTGGAGGAGAAGGAGGAGGGGGTCTAGTCGAGGCGAGTCGAGTCTCCGGCTACCAAGCAAGTCTTCTTTGGTCAAAGTTTCAACGAGCGAATAAAAGGCTAACGTCCTAAAACGCCACCTCGTTTGTTTCTTTAATCCCGCACATTTCGTTTTCTCATTGGTTTCCTTTTAAGGACTTCGTTAAAAACGAAGAAACCCGACTACATTTACCCCGCTGCGCTATCCTGCAGGCACTTTTTCTCCAACAACAACACAGCGGGATTTCAAAACTTTTCTCCAGCGAGGGCCAACGCGGCGGCGTGTGACGTCACCAGCCCCCCGCCCCTCCCTTCCCCTCCTTACTGCCCGGCCAGGGAGGGTCCACACGAGCTCAAAGAGAGAGAGAGAGAGAGAGAGAGAGAGAGAGAGAGAGGGTTAAAAGGCACTGAAGGAGGACGCTACAGGAGAGGATGCTTCATTCACCCTCTTCTTTTTCTTTGCAGCTCGGTGCGTCCTGCCAACTTGTGATGCGTCAGTCTAACTGAATTCCCTCCAGGATTTTCCTCTTTTAAAACAGACCTTTTTAGGGATAGAGGGTGAGCTTTGTACACCTACAAAGGTGGTTCTTTAAGGGTTCTTTAATAAAGGGAGTGTTTCTATTTAGAATTTCTATTCATTATTCTAGAAAATTCTGTATGGAAACATTCACACTTAAATGGTTCTTTGCATGGTGAAATGGTTCTTCAGATTGATGGGAAATGTGTTGCACATGGTTCTGAATAGAACCTTTTTAAGGACGGTTCTATATATCACCAAAAAGAGTTCTGCTACTGTTATGATATGAAGCTTGTAACAATAGCAGAACCCTTTTTTCGTGCTCACAATTATTGGCACCCTTGGCAAAGATGGGTGAAAAGGGTTATAAGAAATTCATAAGAACTTATATAAGGGTTATAAGAACTTTTGGTGAATTAGCTTAATTTCACCCTGAAATTCAACTTTTAATTGCAGTAAATTTGTTCTGATATTAAAAAAAAAGTTTAGTTTAGCAGTCAGTTTTCTCCTATAACATCTTATAAGGTTGGAGAATACAGAGCACGGAAGTTGAGACCATTCATCTATACAGAACCTCTCCAGATTCTCCAAGGTCCTTGTGCTCTCTCCTCTTTAGCTCACCCCACAGGTTTTCTACAGCGTTTAGATCAGGGGAAGAAGCTTAATTTTGTGTTCAGTAAACCATTTTTGTGTTAATCTGGACATATCATTCTTCTGCTGGAAAATCCAATGACAACCAATTTTTAGTTTCTTGGCAGAAGCAGACAGATTTTGATTTAAAATGTCCTGTTATTTCATGGAGTCTATGATGCCATGCAATGAGGTGTGCAGGGCCTTTAGAGAAAAAACAGCCCCACATCATCACAGACCCTCCACCAAACCTAACAGTATGCATCAGGTTCTTTTCATTGTAGTCATCCTCCTTTTACGCCAAACCCACCTTGAGTGTTTACTGCCAAAAAGCTTAATTTTTGTTTAATCTGACCATAAAACACTGTTCTCGTCAAAGTCCCAGAAGTGTTTAGCAAGCTCCACGTGCTTACGATTGTGGTTAGATGACAGGAAAGGATTTCTCCTGGCATACCTTCCAAATAATCTGTTGGCATGGAGGTGCCATCTGATGGTAGTTTTGGAGACTTGGTGACCCCAAGATGCTACTTTGTTCTGTAACTTTCCAGCAGTGTTAATTGGAGAATTATTTTGCCTCTTTTACCATCCTCCCCATGTGCATGGGGGCAAAATCAACATGGGTCCTTGTCCAGGCACCTGTCACAGATCCATTTGATTGGAACTTTTCTTTATTGCCCTCACTGTGCATATTGGCATTTTCAGGCAAGTAGCTATTTTTATAGCCGTTCCCTGACTTATGAAGGTCAAAACACTTTTCCCTTGTTTGAATTGTGTACTCTCTTGTCTTTCCCATGTTAAAAAATGGCTAAGGGAATTGAACCTCTGTGTCACCTCATATGAATACCCAAGTGAAACAGGAAGTCATGGATTACTGCTTGAAAGTCCATAGACACTCTGATCAACTTAAAAATTCATTGGCACCCAGGCATTTAATACTCTGTACAGCTTCCCTTTGTTAACAAAACAGCACTTAGTTTACTCTTATAACATCTTATTAGGCTGTAGAATACAGGGCCAGGAATTTGAGATCATTCCTCTCTCCAGATCAGAAAATGGTTCTACAGTCCCCTTCACAATTATTGGCACCCCTGGTAAAGATGGTAAAGATCTCATATAAATACCCAAGTGAAACAGGAAGTCATGGATTACTTCTTGAAAGTTCAGAGACACTCTGATCAACTTAAAAAAGTCAAATTTAAATGGAAAACTGCTTAAGTTACATTTTGTTTTGTAGAATTTCTAGGGCTACCAATAACTGTGGGACAGGTGGTTTTGTTAAAAAATATATTTCTTGATAAGGGATTTTTTTCAGTGTGAGATTAAGCTCATTTACCAAAAGGTGAATTTCTTATAATGTGTTTTTTTACTCATCTTTACCAGAGGTGCCAATAATTGTGAAGGGGACTATAGAACCATTTTTAAAAAGGTACCATACAGAACCATATACAACACATTCTCCAACAATCTAAGGAACACTTTCACCATGCAGAGAAGCATTTAAACATGAAATGGTCCTATGTAGAGCTCGTGGTTCTAAACAGAACCATTGCCTTTACTAAAGAACCCTTGAGGAACCAAGTGTGCAGTTTTCAAGAGGTCAGTTCAGGTAGAATGTACTTTCTCTTTATGGCTTTATTATACCCAGAACAGCGCTTCAGCTGACTTAGCACTTAAAGAATTTGGCAAATGCATTTAACATCCGACTCAGTCCTTACGGTATTCAGCCATCAAAAGACTTTAATGTTCTTGGCCAAGGAGAATCAGAGTTCCACATGCCGTGAGCTGGAAGTAGTTTCTACATAAAACACCCACTACATACAACTACAACCCCCAAGTCCTTTCTTTAGGTCTTCACTGTTTACTTGCATTTTAAAGCATTAGCATAACAAGGTTTGGTAGGTTAATTCTTTAAAGGGAAATCTCACCAGTTTTTAAAATCGTCTGCAATGGTTGAGATGTAAACAAAGTCATTCAAGTTAGTGTAATGGGAAATGGTTAATTATAAACAAACTTACAGACTCAGATTCCTTTACAGTGGTGTTGATAGGAACCAGGGGTCACCATGTCTTCAACAAACATATAGCCATTTTATTTACTACTCAAAATGACCAGTAAACCTACATGTGTTCCTTCTGAGTTCTTAATATGTAATGTTGATGATGGTAAAATAGTGGTAAATCAGAAAAAATACATTTTCTTTGGTAATGTTATACTTTTCAACATCCCATGTGGACCTTTCTGCCGTGAGAGTATTTAAAAAATATGTTTGAAGCAAAAATCTTATTGCACTACTATAATAAAACAATGTCTTAGGCATCAGGCAGCATATATGTATCCTTTTCATGTAATAACAGTTTGTGAGGTGGATTCAGACATCTGGTTATGTACAGTTCTGACTCGGCTAGTTCCTCTAGAATGAAGCATTGCACATCAAACCACTCTGAATGATCTTAACCATTTAATTATGTAGACATTTACAAAAATCAGTATAATTACCATTTAATTGTCAGTTATTCTCTTCTGAAGAGAATTCCAGTTCCAGCAAAGTTACCTTAGAGAAAAGGTAGTTAGCTAAAAATAATTTCAGAGTCTGAAATTTCAGTATCCGGTAACGTCTGCCCTGTGGGATCTCTCATAGCAGATGCTGTACATTAGCATTTTATTTAAAGGGGAATTCTACAGGTTGTCCCACTGTTCTGCATTAAATCGTTGTGACGTAGACAAAGTTATCCAGATTGATTTGATGTGATACAGTCCATTGTGGTGAAACATACTGACTTCAAATTTCTTCACAGTGCTGGTGATGGGAACCAGGTGTCACAATGTCTGCAAAGCAAATATAACCATTTTTTTCCTTTTCCAAAATGACCAGTGAACCAGCATGTGTCTTCTGAGTTTTTATATGTAAAGATGATGATAGTAAAATAGTAGTAAATCTGTAAAAATAAGTCCTCTTTGGAGACTATTTTGTCTTACAGTGTTTAGAGTGCACCGCTCCACCATAAATGGGTTTTAAAAAATAGATTGTAAACCAAAAGCTCATCTCATGAACAATGTAAAACTATATCCCAGCCATTAGCTAGTGTGTTTTTTACTGTTTCACGTTATAACTATCTGTGAGACAGCTTTTAGAGACATTCAACTTTTCAGATATCCTGTTACCACTGCTGTGAACAATCTGACTGTAAGTTTCTCTAGAATGGAGAATTTCACATGAAACCATTCTGAATGATTTCTTAAGCATTTAATTATACAGAATTTTTGAAAAATCAGGTAAATGTGAAAAATTTAACATGCAGCTCTGGAGAAACTACTTGGTGGGGGAAAAAATAATTGTTAAAGTATTAAAACTATATCATCTAAAATATCATGTGCTATTGGGAAACATATACATGAGTTAAAGGTTTGGACACACTCAACTGATTATGCATTTTTCATAATCTTAAAGACATTTTGATTTAAATCAGCGCTGCCCAAAGTGTGGCCCGAAGGCCAAAGTTGGCCTGTGAGGATGTTTGAATTGGCCTCCCAACGTTAACCATGAGAAAAAAACATATTTTATACTATAAAACTTATGATTTTGAAGTTTTAGTAACAAAATATACTGCGGTGTTAAAATACATATTTAAAATGGACCCTCGTTTTTTGTTCGTACATTGTCTTTTTGGCCTTCAGTCCACCTCAAACATTGCACTTTGGCCCCCCAAGGAAAAAAGTTTTGGCACCTCAATCTAAAGTCTTGCTCATAGGCATCACAAGGCCATGTTACATAGCCACCCCCCACCCACCTTACCCAAATAAATATACATTTCTAGTTCTAATCATTTATATTTTTATTCTCATTCACAATATACTGCAATAGCAGGGTACGCCTGGAGGAGGCACTGCTGCTCTACTGCCTCTGCTGTGCTACCAGAGAATGACTAGTTGAGAATGAAGTAGCATGGAACCCCCGGCTCAGCCAATCATATCAGACCTCGTAAGTCATAAGCCAATCATGTCTGACCTCGTAGGTTGTAAGCCAGTCATGTCAGAGTTTGGAAGTTTTAAGCCAATCATATCAGACCTTGTAAGTGGTAAGCCAATCACATCAGGCCTGAGGCAGGGGCTGTGGTTTTTCTCATTCTGCAAAGAAACACCAGTTAGCAACCACTGAAACTGAAGCCAGGATTTTGGTTGACTAAAACATCTATAATATACAGAGTGAAACAGTACGTACTTACCGGAGTGAATATGTCCTCCTACAGTATGGATTTGTGGGCCGTTTTTGTCAGTATAGTTGGCTGTCTGGCTTTTACTGAATTGCTCATTAGCTAGCTAGCTTTGGGTTTACATGAGGCAAAAAACAAGATGTGAGGCTAACACTAACATTAGCTAGCTAGCTGACAAGCCGACTAGTTTAACTTCACTCCATAGTTAGAGTGTAAGAGTGTAAACGAACAAGAGAGATAGGAGTAATGTTGTTGCTCTTTATATTTCTCTTCTCAGATTTTGCAGATCTGATGGAGGTTAGTAATGAATTGAGGGAGAGTTGTTCAAGCTTTCAGTTAAGATTAATAATGAATTTAATTGAATGTAACTGAGAAAATATGATATTTGTCACTATGACCATGAAATGGTGTCATCTAGCTTTTTAAACATGCCTACAGAGCAAAATTACACTTTCTGATTACCAACTGAGGCTGAACTGATGTATAATTTGTGTGCTTGAATCATATATTTAGGACCTTGCAGCTTATCAGAGAGAGGAGATTGCATTGATTGACTTAAGCACCTTTGTTGAGAGTGGATGAATATAGTGTTTATATCATACCAGCTCTGAAAAGAGTTTAAATATGTGCTAGTTTGACCAAAGAGCCGTTATTTTTGTTACATTTTCTGTTCTGCTCTAAAAGTTCATGACAAACAGACATTTTGGGGCCATTAAAAAAATTCTCCTGGGGGTCTTGCCCCCAGACCCCCCAATACAGACTTAGACCCCTATCCACAAAGCTCTAGTCATGCCCCTGCTTATGCTTAAATGCAAATTAAATTTGTCTTTAAGACAAATACAAACACAAAAGTATTTGCAAAGGAAAAAATAAATAAAAAATATATTTTTTAAATATCCCAAAACAAATGATTTTTAGCAGCAGCAAGGTTTCAGCATGTGTTTATCTTCTTCAGATCTGTTAGAAAACCATCTCAGAATAAAAGAATGTAGAATAGAAGAAGTTGAAGTTGATTTGTTTAACACTTTTTGTCTCTGCATATTTGTTATATTGCATAGTTTGGTGTCTTTGCTATTATCATAAATTGTGGAAAATAATCAGAATGAGAAAAACCTTCTGTGAGTATGTTTGTCCAAACTGGTACTGTTGTTCTACAAGTGCAGTGTTTTTCACTGTCAGTCATGGAGGACTACACAGCTTGGGCTTTACCCTGCTGCAGTATCGCTTATTCACTTCATCAACTCATTCTTGAAGCCTTTACAAGTTGTCTTGGGTGTGTAGGAGCAAAGAAATTCATCTGCACTGCTGTAGTTTTTCCAGGTTTGCAGGTAGAGAATACTGGACTAGTAGTTTAGTTAGAGCTACACTGCCACACTGCAGGATGTTGTTGCAAAGACAGCTCTGAAAAGTGCTGTATGTGTGGACCATGTGATTGTTCCTCATAAATCCACTAGAGGGATCTCCTGCCATGCCAAGTGACTGCTCAATTGATGCAATCGTGCAATAACCAATTATTGATAGATTCATTTAGAGTCCAGACCTAAAAACAATTCAAAAGACTAAACTTCAGCTGAATAAGTACAGGCACTGTTTAATGGTCCAGTAATTTCACTTACATGGGCTGCATGATATGGACAAAATACCATGTTGTAACAGTATTGCTATATTTTGGGTATGTGATGTAACTTAAACACCTTAATGTGACTAGGTTAAAGATTAACATGCATTATTTTGGCCATTTTTTTCCATTTTGGATCATCTGAATCATTGGTTTCTTCAAAACACCCACAGAAACTCATCTGGAACATTGTTCAGGATGCTCACAGCACACAGTGAAAACTTTTGTGATTTATTAAAGGGTTCATTTGCATATTGCAATCTTATATTAGCATTGCAAAAACTGTACTGCAATAACAGTTAACAGACAGTATGTTGTACAGCCCTAGATTACCTAGACAGACTCAACCAGGCTAAAAATTGAATGCAGTAATTGGTGGTAAGAGCACATAACACAGTAAATCTAAAATCCTGAGAGAGAAATGTGAATAAAAGGAATTTTGTCTAGCTGTATAAAGCTATTCAGGAAACTTGGACCAGTCTGCATCATGAAAAGGCTAAATAATATTTACATATTAAATTTAAATGTAAATATTTAAGTTTTCCACAGGTATGATCATATGGAAAAATACAGTACTGTGCAAAAGTCTTAAGCCATGTGAGAAAATAATGAGTAAATGTATGTATTTATCTGGGTAAGCACTTTATCTAACAAGGATTTATTCATTTAAAAAAACACTAACATTACAGTAAATACAACTAAACAATACATTATGTGTGTCAGTGTCTTAGCTTAACCATTTCCAAAACTCACCTTAAAGTCCAGCATTTACACTTAGCATCCAATAATTGCTTCAGCTAATCAGTCCTCCATTTACTCCCTATTCTATACAGTCCATATATGGAAACTAAGCTGCAAGAACAGCCCATATTGAATTTGCTATTTTTGTGATGTCACAAAAACCAACACATTTACATATATCCTCCTATTCAGACTACAGCAGCTTAGTCCCCCACCCATTCACATTGACATTACAAGGAGTTTTTCAGTCCAAGCTACTTTTTGAGTGACAAAAAAACCTCAGCATCTCTCTTTTTTATTTTAGTGTTGAGGACCCCCACAGGACCACCACAGAGCAGGTATTATTTGGGTGGTGGATCATTCTCAGCACTGCAGTGACACTGACTTGTAGGCTGTTGGCTGGATATTTTTTGGTTGGTGGACTATTGTTAGTCCAGCAGTGACACTGAGGTGTTTAAAAACTTCAGCAGTACTGCTGTGTCTGATCCACTCAGACCAGCGCAACACACACTAACACACCACCACCACGTCAGTGTTACTGCAGTGTTGAGAATGATCTACCACCCAAATAGTACCTGCTCTGTGGTAGTTCTGTGGGGGTCCAGACCATTGAAGAACAGGGTAAAAGGGGGCTAACAAAGTATCCAGATAAACAGAAGGGCTACAGTCTGTAATTGTAGAACGACAAAGTGCATTTATATGTTAAGATGGTAAGTGGAGGTAATGAAATGGACAGTGAGTCTAGAAACAAGGAGGTGCTTTTAATGTTCTTTTTTAATGTTCTTTTTTTAAACAATAAATTATTTTTTCTTCTCAATGGTTTATGGCTGTTTCAAGACTTTTGTACAGCACTGTATAATTAATATGTATACATAAGTGTCATATAGTAGAAAATTGGCTCTATCATACTAATTTTTTTCTCTCAGTCTCTTTCAGTTGTGGAAGAAGTTTGGGCCAAAAACCACCCCAATCACACAGCCCAAGACAAAAAGCAACCAGAATATCACAACCAGCATCTGCACACACATCAGGCTTCTCCTGTGGCTCCTCAGCACTACCGCTCTGCTCTCCATGGGCTCTGGTGAGCTCGACCCCTCCCCCATCTGCTCCACCCGGAGGCTGACGGTGGGTAAGATGATGAAGCGGGTGTCACGTGACTCCAGAGACAGGATGACCCTCTGCGTCACTGTGGCCAGCCGAGTGGACACAGATACAGGTAGCCGGAAAGTTACAGGTGGGAGCTGGGCGAGGATACGGGAGTTGCAGGGGAGAGAGTGTGCATCGCCACCCTCTAATGGTGTGGAGTGGCGGCACAAGGGGCAGGAGATGGAGGGAGGGCTGTGGGGGTCAGGCGGGTGGAGTGGGGACAACTGGATGTTATCAAGACATTCGGTGCAGAAGACATGGAGGCACTCCAACATGCGTGGAAGCTTGCGGTCCTGGTCATATTCCTGATAGCACACAGGGCACTCCACCTCAGGGGAGTCCCCACCAGTGGAGGCCTCATCCTGGGCTGACGTCACCCCTGAGGCTGGGGCTTGTGACATGGAGAGGAGAAGGTTATTGGAGAGAAGATGGGGTTCAGTTGCACAGCTGGGAAAGTTAAAGGGAATGCCGTCACACCTGCAATGAAAAAGGTTATTATTACAGTAGCATCTACACTAGCATTGGAAAGGGTGGAATCCCTGTTCAAAAGGTTGGAACCTCATTGAAATCAATGGTTTTAATAATATTAAACCAATTTGTTGGCAGATAAATATATAAAATGCTTCTAATACGCTGGTCTTGTGCAACTTTATCAACTTCAAATTATTAGTAGGAAGCTCTAAAAACAGAAAGATTTTTAGATATTTGCAGAATAATAAACATAGCTGTAGATGATTTTAAAATGACTGAGAAAGCTGTGTAACTTTAAGAATAAAGTTGTGATGGTGATCAAATCTCAAGGCCATTAACTCCTTTTCACTGCAGCTATTTCTAGCTGTTTTGGAGGTTCCTCGTTTGAACTGGATTGTCATCTTTAAAGGTGAGCAAGCAAGTCAACTTTTATAAATGTGTTTTAATTGTGTTTAGATGTAGTTTTGTTGTTATTGTTGCAGTTGTACACAATGTGTTCATGTGAAGAAAGTTACAGTTGTGATGTCCATTTTATCTTGGCATGGCTATATTTCTGGAGAGGTATGAATTGTTTTGCAACAGGAGGTTCTTCTCCCTCCCCTTTCACCTCTCATTGCTCTCTAACAGCTCAACACCCCAAGTACCAGCATGTCACGCACAGCCATCAGTGTCTTGGTTAATCTGATAATGAAAAATATTTTTATTTGTTTAAAATGTTCATTGCGCTAGCAGAACGGTTAATATAGGGCAAACATTTTTGAATAGATGCTTACAGTACATTTATCATTTTTTGGAAAATAGACATATGTTTCTAGAATATGAAATATTGAATAAAACATCTAAAAATACCTTTTTATTGACTAGTTTATAATATTTGAATTTGCATTGTATAAGTTACTGTGGCATGTAAAATAGTAAAAATTATTACTAAGACAAGTGATTCCAAACTTCTGAATGGGAGTGTATAGATTGTGCTGATAACCTGATGATCAAACACTGCTATTGTTTTATTCAATAACATAGTAGTGGAAAAACTCAGTAGGTAATTTGTTAAAGGGGGCAAAAAGGCTGTGGCTTTACAAGTATCCACAAGCAGCCTTGTTACTGACAGACCAGAAACTGTAATAGAATATCTGGAGTAAATCCAAACTGTGACACTATTTTTCAGGAAAGAAATCTAGAAAATAGCAAAGCCTGCACATGTCTGAACCGGTTCATTAATAAGAGTTAGTAATGACCTGTGCTGGCTGGCTGAAACTGGATGCTAGGTCAGTTTCCCAACTCTAACCACAAACTTCTGCTGGCATTTCCTGCTATTGAAAATACTTGATACTGCGGTCTGCAAGGAAAGCTGTTGTATGAGAAACTATTGTACTGAAGAAGAGGGACTACGTGTATGTGTATCTGTGTTGAATGAATGAGGGGGAGATTACTGTGAGTGAGTATAATGGATGTATTAGGATAGTAACAGCACCGATACTACTTTAACATATCTTAAGATTTTATTAACATAACAGAGTGGTTGGTGACTTTTTAAGCCAGTGAATGGAATTATGGTGTAACACGTGCTTTATAAATGATGCTGTCTTACTGGCTTTTATTTCTGTAGAAGTGTAACTGGACTTCTCAGTCACCACATACGTCCATGCTTGACCCTGTAAAATGTCAAGTTAGTAAACTTCTTATGAATGTTGATGATATTACTAGGCTACAATTGAAGTTGTTTTCAGGTGTAAACCACCATTAAATGACAGGCTGACTGTCAGAAAAATGGTTCTTTACAGGTTTGTGTTTGTTCTGCAAGGTACAAACAATGTAAATGTACCCTCAAACACACAGCACTGTGTACCTTAAAGAGGAATATCACTGATTTTTCAAACTTTCTACACAATTCAAATGGTGAGGTGTAGGCTAAATAATTCCAATGGCTTTACAGTGAAATGGTGCATTGCAGAGAAATTTACTGACTCAGATTTCTTTACAGCGGTGGAGGTAGGGCTCACAATGTTTAGAACACAAATATATCATTTTTTATTTATTATCCAATACTATCCAAATGACCAGTGAATGTACAAGTGTCTCATGAATTTTGCATAACAGCAAAGCCGGCATCCCTGACATTTATTACCTAGAGATGGTTTGGTTTCTAGGAGAGGGAACAGTGTGAGATGCTTTTAGAGTTTAATGCCTCCTTGCTTTCACCTTCTTTACTTATACTGTCCGCTTCTCATCAACATCTGATGTAGTCTAGGGTTTTCTACTGATGGAGGAACTATACAAATCTGTTGTTTGAGCAAAATGCACTGCTACGTGACAAATTTACTGACTCAGATTTCTTTACAGTGGTGGAGGTAGGGGTCACAATGTTTAGAACACAAATATATCCATTTTTATTTACTATCCAAAATGACCAGTGAATGTAGAAGTGTCTCATGATTTTTGATATGTAATATTCATAACAGCAAAGAGGTGCTTAATCTTTTTTTGCCTTATAAAGCCCTGCATGTAACTCATCACCACATGTGTCAAGTGCCCCCCCCCCAAAACACTGCAGACGTCAGAAGGCTGCCTCATCAAACACACCTAAATCAGCGCATCAGCTAATTAGCAAGGCCTTTATGCACTGAATTCAGAGCGTTAGATGAGGGTACATATCAGCATCCACAGCACTTTGGCCCAGAAGGTCCCCAGTTTGAAATGTCTGCTCTAAACCATGAATGCAAAACAAAGACCAGAACTCTGGTCTCAAAATTACTCAAAATTATTGTAAATGTCTCAGGCATCAGGTAATGTGCTTATAACCATATCATGTAATAACTTGCTGTGAGAGAGCTTTTAGAGTGATTAAATGCTTTGGATGTCTGGTTTCCATCACCACCACTGTGAACAGTTCTGACTCTGCATGTTTCTCTATAGCGAAGCATTTTACAGCAAATCATTTTTGCATCTTAGTAAATTAATTGGTTTCAAATGTACACTACATTCACTTTCCGAGGGGGAAGAGGCACATTTGTATCTTTTTATAACTTATTCTTTAAATAGAAGAAATAGTTCCCCAACTAAAGGTACTGAAGAGATACCTTTGAGGATACCAGCACTGTGACAGCATTTGTACCCTGAAACATATAGTTCTTCTAAGCATGTAGCATGTTGGCCCTGAGGCTTCTGAATTGTTAATCCTTACTTGGTCATACCACACTACTAAAACATCAGAATGACTCAGTGAACACACCGCACATCTATAGATCACATTCTCCAGAGCACTGCTAGTGTTTGCATGTCTCATGTCTTCTGTTTCATTTTTAGACTAGTAATCCCAAACCCCTATTCACACTGGCACAGCCAGGGTGACCATCACTCACAGGGAGAGCTGCCTAGCAATATAAAACTCTGGAGGATTGGTGTTTATATAGTTGAAAGTGCTGTAATGATAAAGGTCAGTTTCCCAGGTGTAAATGTATGCTACATGCTAATGAAAACTTATTCAGTGTAATGTCAGGTCACTGATTATGATACATTTCAATGTCTATCTACTGAATAGGATACTTACAACAAGAACTGCAGTAATGCAGACATTTTAGAATTTTATAGTTGAATAATAGTTATATAATAACTTATAATAATTCCCTGTCTCTGAATTTAATAAACTACAGAAATTGTCTGACATTTGTTTTAAGATTCTTATAGAAATTCTGTAGAAATTCCTGTAGTGTTATAGTATAGACCTTTTTCACAAGGGGACAAAATGGCAAGAAAACATTCTAATTATTAATATATTATTAGAAATAAAATATTACTCATATGACAGTTGTATTACAATCAGTGATACAACATATCACAGAAATATGACTAATAATTCTAATTGAAAACAGTTAGGATTACAACAAGTTCTCCATTGTGGAGTAGAATAATTCATGCATTCAAATGGTTGTTTGGGTTGTCATGGTTCTATGTATAACCATACTAAAAAACCCTTGAAGAACCCTAGAGTACTCCTACAACATGTAACATGTTTACATCTGCGGCTACAACCTGGTATACAATGCCTTTCAGGAGTAATGGTTGTAAAGATAATGATGTCCAGGAAGAACAGAATCGCATGAGGCTGAGAGCAGACGTGGTAGGGCTACTTTGCGGAAGACCATTAAACAGTTCTATCTAAGTAGGTCAGTTGATATTAAGAGCTATGGCTGAGAGTGCTGGCAGCGCTGCACGCTTTAGTGCGCAAGATGATGGGCACTTACCCTTCTAAAGCCTTCTGCTTCTACTTTTGCAGGGAAGCCCTGGGTCTCCTCTTGTACTTGAGTTGCAGATCCATCTTTACATGTGTTTAAAAGAGCAGTCACATTGCAAGGGAAGCTATACACAGCTTTTTATGTCACCTTTGCCAAAGTCAAATGTGTTTTGGGATATATTATAAGCTCTCTCTCTCTCTCTGTCTCTCTCTCTCTCTCTCTCTCTCTCTGTCTCTCTCTCTCTCTCTCTCTCTCTCTCACTCCCATACCTAAATGCCAAGGGCATTTGAGCCGGTTTCCCTGACATTTATTACCTAGTGATGGTTTGGTTTCTAGGAGAGGGAACAGTGTGAGGTGCTTTTAGATTTTAATGCCTCCTTGCTTTCACCTTCTTTGCTTATACTGTCCCCTTCTCATCAACATCAGACGTAGTCTAGGGTTTTCTACTGATGTAGGAACTATACAAATCTATTGTTGCAGCAAAATGCACTGCTACGTGACAAAGAGCTGCAGAAAGTTTTGTTGTTAATCATTGCAATAAGTTTCATGAGCAGTTTCCAGTAGGTTGGTCGTCATGACAGCTGCCAGGGGGCTGCAGGTCATGTTTTAGAGCTGTAATGTGTATTACTGGACGTTGAACTTTCAGCTGTCGGTGATTCATGTTGAGAGTGATCTTTCTCCCTCCGGTTTTTGCCTTTCCCCTTTTTTGTCTTGTTCCGTGAGCAAGAGCATGGCCGAGCATGACGGCTCCTCCCCCTCCCAGCCTTACAAAATCAAAGAAAAAACAAGCACTTTAAATCTCATGTGATTACAATAGCAGAGTTACTAACTAAAGCAGGAACTAGATCATGTTTATTTTGTCTTTTTATTTCATGTTGAGGAACAAATCAAACTAAACAAATGGAACAATTTCACATATAAAGCAGAAAAATGCTGTTATGAAAAGCCAACTACTGTATATCATAGTGAAGACGCTTCATTACAGTGGAGAAAAAGGACAAACTAGTCTTAATTATACTGAGGTCAATAATTTTTAAATAAAAACTTTGGTCAGATCTCTGAAGAGCCCAGAACACGTGTTTAGATCACATCAATACACTTCAGTAAGCACTTTTTACACCAGGTCAGTAGTTACACTTCCTGAACAATGAAGTCATACTTATTTCAGTCACAAAGAGTGTGGAGAACCTCTGGCAGTATAGAAGCCCAGCCGGTTAGATCCAGAAATTTGTGTCACAGGCACACCCATAAGTTTTGAAGGGGAAGATTGGGGGAAGAAAGAGGCGGGTAAATTCGGGGAAATCTGTGCTGAGTAGGAAGATATTGTTTTGATACTCCACTGTAAAATGAAACTCTGTTACGAAAGGTGTATTTATAAACAAATCAGTTCCTCTGAATTTACGGTAAAAAGGATAACTCTTTGTATATTTCCAAGATTGGCTCATATCACCACTGAATGTGATACAAAAAAAGTGCTTATAATGGAATAAACATGACTTAGCACAGGCACCCTACAGCCAGTTCAGAACACTGTTGCTTGGCCAGGTATTTTCTTAAGTACTACCATGTGCATTTTACATCATATACACATATTCCAGCAGTACTATGTGTATTTAACAAATCAATTTAAATCAATTTAATTTAAAACATCAATGGATCAGTGGTTTTGGATGAGAAATAAGAAAAAAACAAAAAAGAAAAAACTAAAGTATTACACATTAAAAACACTTTTACATAATTTGAAGATGCCAGCTGATCCTTTGCATTGTGTCAAAATTTCATGACAAACGCACCAACAGAAATAGTACAAAATGACTTAAAATAAAATCTTGTTACATTAACTGAAGGTTAAGAAATGTGTTTTCTCTCCTGTACAGGTACTATTTTGGAGATACAAGGTTTTGTTCCACATATAATCCTCACTGGGCCCATTTCAGTACTTACCATGCCCTTACCAACTTCAATTCACCACTCAGAACTGCGTCAAACCTACATTAAACAAAAGGCCACTTGCCGTACAAGGAAAGGAGAGGACAGTGAGATGCGGACTTAAATCAGAGTGCATTTGTCCTTGGCTAGGTTAATCTCAGTGAGCTAATTGGCTAGCCATGCAGAACTCTGTAATGCTGAACATTTTTTGAGATGAACATACATCATTTTGGTGAATAAAACCTTCATTTAGCTATTTGTTTTGGTTTAAAACAGCGGTGTCTTACCTTTTTTTGTTGTTGCCAGCTACGTAGCCTTTAGCTTACTAACTAACAAGCTAGCAGAGTAAAATAATATAGTTGTGACAGCAGTCTCGGACAACAGATGGATTAGTTAGCTACGTTAACCCATTCTGAACATAGCAAATACAAATCTATGGTTTTGAAAAGTTTTAAAGCATTATACTGATTTGGCTTATAAACAGATAAACAGCATTTTTTTCCTCATGTTTGAAACAGGAAATGTGTCAGGCTGATTTCTGGGTTTTGCTGCTGAAGTTCACACTTAATTTCACTCGACCCCACAAACCTCTGAGGGCTCATCTCTTTTTTCACTTGAACTAATAAAGTAATGGAATGGCCCTTATGATGGTGTCTCGGATTTCCCCAAGGGAGAGAGTTCCGGCAAAGTTGATGAGGGCTTGTTAAAAATGGTACTGGAAGGTGCATTGTCATTCACAGTACAGTCCTACAGCATGTACAGCCTAACACATTTATACACATACATGCACATAAATGCAGGCCTACTAGGCTACCTCTTCATAATGTCAACACTCATGAAAGAGGAACAATAACATATACTAAGTCAAAATTATGCTTACTGATAAACAAATAAACCCCAAGGGCTGAAAGCACCTGTGATTCAGTAAGTTTTTATAGAGCCATAAAACACTGATAACAGGTTTTACTGCTGGATGTATTTCTTTGAGTGTATTTATGTCACCTGATGTCATTCAAACTAGGCCTACAGGTTTCATATCTATATCGGCATAGACCATTGGCAGAGTGGCTGTCTCAACATGTTGTAACCTATTTTTGTCTCCTTTGTTGTAGCTGTAGATCTCAGGGGTATTTCCCAAGGCTGGATTTCTGATTTAGTCAGATGCCTAAAGCCCAAAGTCAAGCGTGTCAAATAGTAGAAGATGTCAGTGATATTTTTATTGAACAGTCCTCACTTTTGGCTTATAGTGCTCACAAAAAAAGGAAAAATTAAAGTCCATATATGAAAATGAAGCATCAAAAACTGTTTTGAATCCCCTTTTTGTGATGTCAGTGTGCAGCGGTTTAGCTCTGCACATTCACACTAAAGATATAAGAAGTGATTCAGCCTGGCCTACCTTTCTGAGCAATACAGGGCAGCCAGTCAGAATGATGGTCAGTTACATATATCAATTTAAAAAAATGTGAAAATTCTGTTTAATTCTAATGGGTAAAGAGAGGTTGGAAAATGGTCATGTGAAGATTAATTACAACTAGTTTTTGTAAAACTGCCCCACAATGTCATCAATGGACCTTAAGGGAAAAGAATAAATACAAGAAAATATTAGCATATGTCCCTTTTGAGTCATATATTTGGACTGACAAATCTTGCTTGACAGTTAGTTTTGGGGAGTCTGTTACACAGATGTGGGTAGTAACATTTACTGTGCTAAAGTAAAATTCTGGATTTGTACTTTTGTGCATATTGTCAAATCATCATTTTCTACTTCAACCTAACAATTAGTCACCGATTCTTTCTGTGTGTGTGTTTCATTATCATGTGTGTGACAGCATCTGTACTAATATACGATTGATTGCACCTCTGATTTGGGAGCTTAAGCTTTTATTGTAGGGGAGCTTAAGCATTTAACTTTTATTTTAGACTAAGAGCTGCTTCAAAAAGAGAAGAATGTAGCTCCTAACAGACCTTCAGTTCTTGTACTGATATGCTTGATGTACTTTAAGAAGGTCCACTGCAGTTCTTCAGCAGTTATTCAGTAAAGGTAGTTGTTTGACCAGCTGCTTTTGTATTTCTCCTCAAGTTGTTTTATTTAAGGTTTTAAATAAATGACTTTTACTTGAATCATTATTTCACAGATGTAACAATACTTTCACTTGAGATTCAGGTCTCTCCACCCACGAGTTTCATCAGGTTGTATTGTAGGCCTACGTGCTTGAGAGCGGTGACATCATCTCATTCCCAGTGTTTACGGGTTGCTAGTAAACTCACAGGGAGCTCCTCCTCCCTCCGGTGACGTCACGCCCTTCCGAATGAGCGGCTCGTTAAAGGAGCTCGCGCTGACCGAAGCTTCTACAACTCCTAACGTAGCTGCCGGACTTCGCTGATATTTTCAAAAGCCGATAACAAAAGGACACCATGATGGCCGAACTGGAGCTGGAGTGCGGGATTTGTTACCGCCCCTATAACTCGGGTCGCCGCTGTCCGCGGCTGCTCGGCTGTCAGCACCGCTTCTGCCAGTCCTGCCTGCTGCGCCAGGGCTCCTCCACGCGGCTGCCGGGAGAAAGCGACTCTCAGCCCCACATCGTGTGCGCGCTCTGCCGCCACCACACCGTCCTCACGGAGGCGGGACTGAAGGAGGACCTGCCGGTGGACGAGGAGGTGTTGCAGCGCCTGATGGCCGAGGGGGCCCTGGAGGGCAGCGCGAGTGACGATGAGGACGATGAAGAGCCAGAATCGGAGACAAGCTCCCAAAATAAAGAGGAGAGTTTACCAAGGACTAGGAGAGGACGAGTGTGGAGGGCCATGAAGAAACTCTGCAGCAAAGTCAGAGGACAAGATCGACGAAGTAAGTACTTTTATCTCTGAACAGCACAAAGAATTAACTCTAAAATGAACCTGCAGGCAGAGCTGGAGTAGGATAGTCTAAACATCACACATCACCGTAAAGCTAGTGTTCCCTTTAATGAAACAGTGACATGGCTACCAAAAAGGCATTGAGTAAAGGCTAGACAATCGGGTTAAAAATAATAATAATAATATAATAATCCACATCAACACCAGATTTTGTTAGATTCCACACTTCTCATTTTGTGATTCCTTTGTCTGAAATAAGAGGTAACAGCAAAACCAGCTGGGTAGCAAATCAACAGAACATACTGACATTAAACCCAAAAAAGGGATTAGGAACTACATGTGAATGTCTAATGTAACTGAGTAAAAAGTAGGCAATATACAAATATTCATCAATGTTATTTAGTGAAAATGCTCAAAAGTGCAATCTATCAAATTTTCATTCGGATTACTGAGTAAATGACTACACACAATAAACTACCTACAATAAATGAATACCCATAATAAACTACCCACCTCTGTCTAATCTACTGTTAAAATTGTTAATAAAATGATAACAGCTTTTTTATTTAAATTATTCTTTTTTTCTCTTTCAGGCTGTATTACTGATGCTGAAATGAGGGATCTGGCACGGATGTCTTGCTACATGATTTAAGCGACGAGAAAGACCCTAAAATTTTCGCATAGACTGTCTTAATGGATTCACATCAAACTGGACATGTAGCCAGGCAGACTGGTCACAGGCTTCTCAAGCACTGATCGCTCCTTTCAAAGGCACTTAAAATCCATGCTTGTATGGTTATACACTGTGGAAAGGAGATGGCTATGACCGGACTTGCATAAAGGAATGTGACTGTAGGTCTATTGATCGACCAGACTAAACAACACTGAACTGCAGCAATTTTAGAGGGGATTTCATATAGGCCCTTCCACTGCCAGTATTTTCCACATGTTTTCACCATGAATAACATGTAAGAAATGTAGCACTGTGATGGAATGTAAGCTTTGAACTCTTGAACCAAGACATTCTAGCTAACGTTAAATTGCCTAATTTGGTAGAGTGAGTATTAGCATACTATGTGGTACTGTAAAAATGTTTTGGTGCTCTTAATTTATTACAGTGCTTATTGTATTTATTGATTTATAAATCTGATCTTTGTACTATTTTTAATAAAAACTTTGGAATATTTTCTGCATTTTGTAATAGATTGGAGTGGTTTATTATAAACCATTATTTGTTTGGGTTTGTAAATAACTTTACGAAAAAGACCTACAGCAATACTTTAAGTAATTCTAAGTGTTCTATAGTGCTGTACTGTCATCTGTAATATGTTTGTCTCCATATACTATTTCTGTAGGACTGTCTTTTGACAGTCATTTGTAATTGTGTCACATTCTTTAGTATACTACAGTAATTATCTCAATTAACTATGCAATCCTGTATTCCTATAGATCTTTTTCATAGGGGTTATCATGTACCAATCGCATTAAGCATGAGAGATTCTAAAGGTGCATTTGACTCAGTATCAGTATAAATGTAACAGGAGACTGAGGTGAACTAAGGTTGCCTTATCAATAATCCATTAAGTCCTCCTTTAAGTAAACAGTGAGTATGTGTGGAAGTGTGGGTTAAGTTTGGGTTACAGCTCTGTCTCATCAGCACATATTCACAGTGGGGAGAAAGGTGTCAGTTAGTTTCTTCCTCCGCATTTCTTCTGTAAACTTGCCTCAGAAAAGAGAATAAAAGAATAAACTGTGATCTTTTTAAAGAAGGCAAAATGACATTAAGTATTAATGATGCTGACAAGAGCATTACTTATCACTTCTTTCAAAGGAAGTTCTCCAATCCTGCCCCAATCCACAGCAGTGTATATTAACGGGTTACATTTACTCAGTTACATGCACTCAAGTGGCTCAACTGTGATGGACTTGCACCTTTCTGAGTATCATCAAATGATAATAAGTTTACTGAAAAGACATATAATACTAAAGTAGTACTCTTTATTTTCACACCCACAACATTTTAGCCATTTACTTTTAGACATTTACTTCATCATAGTCATACCTCTGACGTCTGGGGATTTTTTGTTTTGTTTTAGACCAAAAGGGTTCAAAATGAGAAGCAGCAAAGTACGTCAGAGACAGGTTACACAGAGTTCACTCCACCAAACTAAACTGCACTCAAAAAACATGAAATTGCACTGTTGAAATTTTCTCTCATTGACATCACTCAACACAGAAGACAAATGATCACCTGTATTATAATGAAAGTCAAGTCAAGTCATGAAATGAAATGCAGTAACTTGATAAGTGCTTGGTCAGTTCAATCTTTATGATTAAAACTCTCATCTTTCCCATCGCCTCATTTTACCTCTTCCATCAAACTTTACCATGGGCGCTATGCATTCCAGGAGGTAGTGTTCTCCTGACAACCCCAGATGCCAGATAGCAAAGTGTGATTCATCACCTCAGAGAACACGTTACCACTGCTCCAGAGTCTAGTGGTGGCATGCTTTACACCACTCCGGCCAACACTTGCAATTATGCATAGTGATCTCAGGCTTGTGTGCAGTTCCTCAGCCATGGAAACCGATTTCATGAGTCTCCCAACACACAATTCTTTGGCTGATGTTGCATCCAGATACAGTTTGGAAAACTGTAGTGAGTGGTGCAACAGAGGATAGGCTTCGGCACTCGATGACCCCACTCTGCAAACTCTGTGGTCTACCGCTTCATGGCTGAGCTGTTGCTCCTAGACACTTCCGTTCCAAAATAATAGCACTTACAGTTTACCAGAGCAGAAATTTTACAAACTGACTTGTGGCAAAGGTGGCATCCCATGACAGTACCAGATTTAAAGTTACTGTGCTTTTTAGTATGATCCAATCTACTGCCAGCGTTTGTCTATGTTGTATGTAGATCTAACTAAAGTCTATCAAATTATATTGCTTTTATTTACTTTAGTAGTTGAACATAACTATATTATTTTAAATAAACATATGCAAAATAAATACATGACCAGCCACTTGATTAAGTATCTGTACTCACTGTCTATTTTGTTAGGTCCATTTACAATATAGGAGAACTTTGTAGTTCTACAAGTATCGACTGTAGTCCATCTGTTTCTATGCATATTTTGTTACTCGCCCTTGAACCTGTTCTTCAATAGCCAGGACCCCCACAGGACCACTACAGAGCAGGTATTATTTGGGTGGTGGATCATTCTCAGGACTGCAGTGACACTGACGTGGTAGTTTGTGTTGCACTGGTATGCTGGACTGAGAATAGTCCACCAACCACAAATATCCAGTGACCACTGATGAAGGACTAGAGGATGACCAACACAAACAGTGCAGCAACAGATGAGCTACTGTCTCTTACTTTATATCTACAAGGTGGACCAATAGTGTAGGCATGTCAAATAGATTGGACAGTAAGTAGACACAGTGATTCTCAAATGAGTTCGCAATAAAATGCATGATACAGACTCTTGTACTGGGCGTCACTTCAACCCCAAAAAGAAATCTGAGCCATTTTGATTTGTTTGTGTTATTTGGAATATAATGCAGAGAGTGACCATTCTCCCTCCTGCATCTAAAAATTGAGCATTTGTAAATGAGTGCCATCTCCTGGTAGCTTTAAAGTTACTCATGTAGAGCGACACCTGGTGTGTGAAGTGTGGGAGGGACAGTTGATTTCACAGTTCATGACTACAAAAAAAAAAAATTGAGGTCATTTTATGCACTCTGCAGTGCCCAACTAATGTTGGACTGAAGCAGAAAAATGTAGATAATCACATACTTTCTGCTAAGATAACAGTTTGAGTAAGAAGGAAAAATACTTGCTCCACTCATACCAACATAACACACACTGACATGTGGTCAATGTCACTGCGTGCTAAGAACCATCCAAATACTGGATGACTGGTTGGTGTAAATACATAATACACTTTGATGAATTTTTGTCTTCATTTTTGCGGGGTTTCACAGCACAAGGTGTTTGTATAGATCTAAAAAGATTTTTTTAAATATTCAAATAAGTTATGCCAGTTGTGTTGAACCTCTGGCCATGAGTCAGTTGATTTATTCAAAGAGCTATTTTTTTTATGCCGTGGACATGCTTCCAGATAAACACAAAGCTGAATTAAATCAGCCTTAAAGCGATTTGCACTGGTTGACGTAATTCCCAGCCAGGGGCACTGCCAGGGATTTTGGGCTCCATGAAAAGATATCACATTGGGCCCCACCACCTCACCACCACAGGCCTCGCCAATCCTGAAAATATGACACTGTACAGACATGCATGCAACATTCTGCATACAGTGGAATTCACTATTAGACCCCACACTGATACCCTCTATCAAAGGTAATAGCCAAGGGCCATCTTTTACAGTAGAAATTGAGTTTTAATGTAATTTTAAATGTAATTTTTATCATTATGCCAACTGACATGTCATACAACACAATGCTGCTCATCCCTTTCTTCAGATACACAGCCAGGCCTGGTTCTGTGTTAGGGGTATGGGGATGGGGAGACAGGGCTGGTTCAGTGTTAGGGGTATAAGGATAGGGAGACCGGGCTGGTTCTGTGTTAGGGGTGTAAGGATAGGGAGACCAGGGCTGGTTCTGTGTTAGGGGTATGGGGATGATTAGACAGGGCTGCTTCTGTATTAGGGGTATGGGCATGGGGATACAGGGCTGGTTCTGTGTTAGGGGTATGGGTATAAGGAGAGAGGGCTGGTTCTGTGTTAGGGGTATGGGGATGGGGAGACCAGGTTGGTTCTGTGTTAGGGGTATGGGGCATGGGGAGACTGGGTTGGTTCTGTGTTAGGGGTATGGGGATGGGGAGACGGGGCTGGTTCTGTATTAGGGGTATGAGGATAGGGAGACCAGGCTGGTTCTGTGTTAGGGGTATGGGGATGAGGAGACAGGGCTGGTTCTGTGTTAGGGGTATGGGGATGAGGAGACAGGGCTGGTTCTGTGTTAGGGGTATGGGGATGGGGAGACAGGGCTGCTGAGCCTGAAGCTGCATCTGTTGGATATGGCATCAGGCAGGCGCAGGAACAGCTGATTCAGTATGAACAGCTTGCTAAAAGTTTGTCTGCATTTATTAATGGTGGCTAAAAAAGAGGAGCAAAACGTAACACTCAGAATATTCTGTAAGGATATTAAGTTACTGTTAGGAGAGCAAAAATAACTTAAGCCTATTAGCTAACAGGCTAATGGCTGATTCACTATACCCACCTTTCACGTGTTGCTTGCACTTATAAACGAAAATAAATAAATTACGTGCTTTTGCGTTTGGCACGGCCGGGTAATGACGTTTGATCCAGGCCTTAGTTTAGGGCTGGAACTAAACTCTGCTGGACTACACAAGTAAAAGACCAGTCTTAGACGAACCTAAACCTTCAAAGCCAGGGGTGCGTCCGAATAGTCGAATGAAACTTAATTTCCTATCTGCTTCCCTTGCCGTTGGTTGATTCGCAAACCACGTGGATCCACATGCTCGTCAGCCCAATTTTGAGAGCCCATGGGTTCCCTGGTCAGGAAGATTCATTCAGTTCTTCGGACGCTTCCGGGAGTGTATTCAATCAGCAGCATGTTCACTAAGTAAATTAGTGTTTTCTTAGGTGGTATGAAGGCTAATTAACTCAGGGGGGTATATTTGGGACGTAGCAGGTGACGAGTTCACAAAAGGAGGATCTTCCCTTTCACCCCCCTTTTGCCCGTCACGGTGTGGTGTGGTGTGCTGTGCTGGGCTGGTTCATTGACGATGCTTCCTGGACACCATTTAAGGCACGTTTTGCCTGTAATTGCACCTTAAATGGAAATGAAAAACTTTTGTAGCATGTACACGGAAAATGTTTTTTACGGCACTCTAGCAACTGACATTCTTTATCCCACAGACTGGCACTGGTTTATTTGTTTTTCCTTCTGGGAAAATATGATGCTGCACCGCCATCAATAGGTAAGTTATTTCCAGACATATATGCTGGATTCTGAACGCAGCTATAGTCTAATAGGTATCATACTTTAGAGTGGATGAGTTTGACTAATGCTGATCTTTTATCATTAAAAGTGCATTGCATGCATTTTTTAATGCATTTCAAAAAGAATGTGAACCTGTACGTAGTGGGTTCAACTAGATCAGTGTTTTCCAGCATTTTTGTTACTAAAATATTCATATTAAGAATTGAGCGAAGAGGT